AAAATGAAAAATGTTCGTTAAATTTTCGACAGTTTGCTTATTTACCCCTTTTTTATAAGGGTCAAAATGCAAGTCTTTTAGACACATTGTGCCCCTCCCAGGCCTGAGTCTTGGGTGCGCCAATGGGTATAGGTAATGTAAGAATAGTCTCACTGATTGCTTTATACGTTTAGAATTACTTTACTTTCAATTTCTGCAAGTTCAAATATCATAATGTAGGGTAAATTTGTCAAACAACTTAGAAAATACAAATAGTTATATGTTTTACTAGGCAGAAAAGCACAAGATTTAATGCAGCGGCTTGCGTTTCATAACCAAGGCGTAGCCGTAGCCAAGGCATTGAATCTTTTTTTCTGCCATGTGAAAGATATTATTTTATTTTCAAATTCGTACCAATTTCAAGTGAAAATAATCCATCATTTTCTGTTCATCCAATGTCATTGTCAATTTCCATTACCAATTTGATTCTAATTGTTACTTACTTGGAATATGGTGCATGGCAACAATTTTTTTCTGCCTAGGCAGTAAAAGTACACCTTTTATGACTGTCAGATGTCATTAAAAGCACTTTTAATATCATTTGGAGATATAAAAAAGTTTCTTGGGAACAGATCAGATTATAATAATTATGATGGAATAATTGGATTATGAACTTAATGATTGAGTTCAAGAATATTTATCATCATCAATCCAGACTATCATATACAGAGAACTGCCGAAAAACGGTCAGTGCTAGAAAAAATTATGAAAATAAAATCAACAATATCTAAAATCAACAAAAATGTTAACAAAAGCCGCTTGACAAGTCGGAATTATTCAAAATATGGCCCGTAATGCATGTTCATACCATACCATACCATACTTCAACAAAAACCAATTTGTATGCATTTACTAATCTTTCTAAATAATGAATTTTCAATGAAAATTCAAATTTGATTGTGCGAGCACAAATTGAAGTGTATGATCGAGATATTTTAACGCGCTCGCGTTAATGTTCGAGATCATTAATCGCCTTTTAATATACAAGTTAGTTACAAAATTTTTCCGTCGACTATATTTCTTATTTCTCCTGCAATGAAGAAAACTTGGTTCGCGAATTCATCATTCATCCGGAAACTGCTTAGAATCACCCAGTAGCCTTGTTACTGACATTAGTGACATTTGACATTTGTCGAAATGATCAACATAGAAAATAAATTCCTTGTGTTAGAAAACAGGGATTAAAATCGTGTTAGAAACTTGGAAAGGCGAACCCGTTAACGGAAAATCTTCGATGAAATCCATATTTTCGATTTGAATGCAGATTCCGTAAGTTATAGCATAAACAATGAATGCACGCGGTGTATGTTTGGTTGCCTCTAAAACAATCGTGCATTAATAGACAAATCGTTCATTAATAGGGGTCATTAATGAACGATTTCATAAACATAAAAGTTAGTCGTTAATACGAGGTCGACGGAAAATATCATTACTTGAAAGTTACATACATTAAAAAATACGTTGCAAAAAACTTGTCATTACCAGCCTGTCTATCGGGCGGTCACAAAAAAAACGGAAGTTTTTATTTTCCTCGTGGTTTCATCATTTTTCAACCGACTTTGAATTCCTTGACGTCATTTTGTAGCTTAAGGGCTATAGTATACAGTGCAATATTTGAAAATTCCATAATTGAAAAAATCGAAATGGTGGAGCATCTCAAACATTTGTGATTTACAAAAACCGCTGGCGAATGAAAAAATATTAATTTCTTTCAATCAGAACCGATGCAATTCTAGATCATTGATTTCTGAAAAATTGAGCGCTTAAACATCTGAATAGAACAAATAGTCCAGGAGATACACATTCTCTTTGGCAATGTGTTATGGAATCAATGTGCCAATCTCTTAATAATAATTACGATAATAATTACTTTTATTTTGCTTCTGGCTGTATCAGAATTCAGTCCAATTTGGATTTCTCAAAGCCATTTGAAAGCTGAAAAGCTATAGTACTTTGGGTAACATCCGAAAATTCCATAATTGAAAAAAAATTGTGGCGTAACGCAAACTTTTGTGACAAGCTACTCGTCACGCGTCGTCACTCAGTCTGATTGGTGACGCGTAATTGAAAATTGCTGCACTGTTTTTTCATTTTATCATTTTCAGTTCCCAACGAAATTATCAATCATTGTCGCTTTGATTGAGGTTCTTATTGAAAAATCATGAAAATACTGAAAATATAGGATAATACTTGCAAGATATACAGAGCTGCGTCAGATGAGAAACGAAAATAGCCCAGTGCAAATGAGATAGTTAGGTAGGTACTCCAATGATACTGCAATGATTTAACTGACCATCAGATTAATTGCACTCTCATAGGAATGAGGGTTAATGAAGTTGCATTCATGAAAAATCTTGTGAAACAATTTATAATGGATATCAACCATGGACCATAACCTCAATTCAAAGCAGCAACGCCAAAAAGTTGAAATATTTTAACTTCATCGCGTCAAATATTTTTCATTCACCAATCAGGTTGCATGAGGCGCGACGCGTTAAGCAAAAACGCTGCATTGGGAACTCACCTTTATGCTGTGATTCTAATAGTTTCGGACTGTTCATTTTTGAACGTGAACAAACCTCGTATATGTCAGTAGCTTGCCCTTACAGAAATTTGGTTTTTCATGAAACATTACATTCTTGGTCTAACAACAAATGAAGTAATGACAAAAACGACAAATAGTAGTGATAGAATTTAGTAGTACTTCTCCTGGTATACTGATGGGCTCTGTAGCAGAATAGCGTCAGTCGAAATAGCGCTGGACAAAATAGCGCTACGAAATAGCGCTAGGTTAAAATAGCGTTAGTCAAAATAGCGCTGGACAAAATAGCGCCGCACAAAAATAACGCAGAACAAAAACAGCGGCGGACAAAATGGCGTCGGTTCAAATAGTACTGCGACTAAATAACGCCGGGTAGAATATTCTTAGAAAATCAACTATTGGAATAGGACGTGATTGAAAAATCAAGTTTACGAAATCAATTTTAATAAAAAGCCAAGTTTTTAACAATTACAAAATCTTGAACGGTATCTTGTAACGAAGATTTCTGAAGACTTTTGTTCCTTTTTCAATTGATTGATCAATTTGTATACATGAGGATGCTGGCAGTTTAGAACTTTCTGTAAGGAATTGTGCCATACTTCAAGGGAATTATTTGTTTTTGGCAAATCGTTTTGCACCCGCTCATATTGATTCCATAAATTTATACTGAATCGAGGGTTGATATTATGAATCCTCTTACCAACGTGATTATCTTCCCAATAGTCGATCACCGGCATTAGTACAGGAAAGTTTTCACGAATGATTTCCAGTGCGAACTGCACATCTTTTTCTGGGATATTACTGGGATATTACTGAGAGCAAGAAGCATGAAAATGTTGTATTTTCCTCCATAAGTTCTGCGCCAGATGAAACAAACAACCGATAATACGCGTGTTGGAGAATAGTTTTTTCACTGCATTGATAGACGATTGTTCAAAATCAACAAGTATAGTTTCAGGCTTCAGTTCAACATCTAAGGTTTTCAGGGTATTAAAAACTTGAATGTAAACACCTCCTAATTGTTATGTCATGTCGCTGTTTTGTCCAGCGCTATTTCGTCCACCGCTGTTTTTGATCTGCGTTATTTTTGTGCGACGCTGTTTTGTCCAGCGCTATTTTGTCGCAGCGCTATTTTTGAAGCGCTATTTTGACTGACGCTATTCTGCTACAGAGCCATACTGATGGTCTGCAAATGGCTCGTGCAATCCCATCTATAAATCCCAACAGTTTGGGACTGGAGACCCTTCTTGAGAAATAGCCTAAAATGTAATGAATAAATGATTGAACCTATAGATTTTTATAAATCAGTTTTACCTATGAGTTGAAAACTGTTGAATGAGCATGATTTTGTTAATGTTATTAAGAAACCTATTTTACAGTATAATTCAAACAGCCAGTCACTTCAGATTGGACAAACATGTAAAAATCAGAACTTCTTCATAGCAATAGAAATACGTTCATATCTGATGGTCCCCTCTGTACCTGAAATTCTGTAATCTGTTCATCAAATAGTATATAGGTACCTATAAAAGGTATTCACATAAAAAAATTGGGTTGATTGAATTGAAAACATCACTACAGGAAGCACTGAACATCCTATGCATTCTTACATGGAGTGCACCTTCTACTAACTAATCTATCTTGATGCTTTCTGAAATTTTATTTACGCTTTTTGAAATTCAAAAGATATTTTCTGAAATACAAATGACGTTTTCTGAAATTCAATTGACTGTTCTGAAATACAATTGACCCTTTCTGAAATTAAATTGACTATTCCGGAATACAATTGACGATTTCTGAAATACAAATGACTATTCTGAAATACAATGGACGCTTTCTGAAATTGAATTGACGCTTTCTAAAATACATCTGGAAAAGGTAAAGTTCTTGTAATATATGACCTTAATTTGTATAAATAATAGTTATCACACAGAAAATAACACTAGACAGTGCTGTGGCTGATAACCAAACAATGGTTCAAGATCTACCAATCTATTTGGATAAACTAGTCTGCGAAGTAAAATGCAGACTAGTTATTCCTAAGGGTTATAGTATAGATTAATCATTCTGGATAATTAGGATATCTACATAGGGAATCTATTTATCATTATACTTACCAGATACTGGTATACGTTCATTAGTCACAATTCTTTCTGGTATTCCCAGAGCTCTAGTTGATCTTGGAATGTCGTCCTTTGAAAATCGAAATAGATTGTTACATTCTACTTCAAATAAACTGTTTAGGTTAAAATCTCCATATAATTCCCTTTTGTTACCTAAATTATCATCATTATTTATAACATATAAAATGAATATATCATCTAAAAGTCATCATCACTACTAGCATTGCTATCATTTATAGCTTCAAGTATCAATATGAAATGAAGTAATGACAAGAACAACACTGAATTTCTTGCAGGTCTGTACGGCACGCTCTTCCGCCGCAACAAAGAAGCCGCCTTCTCCAACTACCGTCTGTGGGAGAGCGTCGGCTTCGTCATAGCCTACGCGTACTCCACGCACCTGTGCGCGCGCATGAAGCTCTACGTCCAGCTGTCCATGCTGCTGGCCGGCTTCTTGCTGTACGTGGCTGTGGAGGTGCACCACCTGCACAAGATCCGCAGGCAAAAGGAGCGCGAGAGGCGGGCGAAGGCGGCCGAGGCCAACAAAGCGGCGGCAGCGGCGCAGGCGGCGGCAACGGCGCCCGAGCCGGAGGAGACGGACGATGAGAAGGACGATATCGACGACGAGATCATCGTCACGCATTTATGAGGTCGAGGTGAGCGACTATAATATATCTATAGTAGTAGTAGTAGTAGATCTACTAATTCTCATTCGTGATGGGAACTGAACCTTAGTGAAGAATCGTGAAAAACATATGTAGGTATTGCAAAACATGGCAAACATGGATGAAATAGATCATCTAGAGGCTTTACAAAATTTGGAAGTGGCTGAATTCCTTGCTAGAAGACTAAGAAGAAGGTTTCTGTGTAAAAGGGACCAATTGAGTGTTTGTCTGCTGCACAATTTATTAAAGTTTTTCGTTTGTCCAAAGACATTACTAGAAAATTGATAGGTACTTTAGAATCCTTATAAGTGCATTGGGGGTGAAATTTTCCTTTCTTCAAGTCCTCAGAGGCCTCCATTATTTCTATCAAAAGTCTTGTCTGCTCTTTGCTAATACTACCACCACGTGGTTTTTCAATATTGTTCGTATCCATATCCATTTCGATCAGAGGAAATATAGTAAATATACAATACACAATAATCTCACAGTCGCAAAATTATATTATACTATAACGTCAAAGCTCAAAATTAGTCAACATGTCAACATTTCATGTCAATCATCCACCAGTTACCAACATAAATTCCACTTATTTCATTGGTGAATTCATGTAAGTCCAAGAATCTATCTGCGACATACGGTACTTTTTCAATACCCTGGGAAAAACGATTCCATCTGATTAAAAAATAGGTGTCATGACAAATTTTCATTTCCTATGAGAACCGAAAGCATTTGATCATTCTCCTATAGGATCGAATTCCTACAGATTCGACAATCGGGCCCCGGTGACGAGGTTTCGGCCATGCCTAGCTTTAACTTCTGCATTCGTAAACGGATTTTCCTGAAAATAGAAGTACCTAAATCTCTCTAACCATTCACATCACGTGAAATGATGAGATTCGTATTTTTTTGAGATTATTTTTCGCAATAAAATTGTGGAGGCTGAGTTTGGTCAGGGAGTTCCACTCTGGTCCACTAATAGCATGGCGTCAGACCACTGTGATAATTTTTATAGTGATTTAGGCTTTCAAGGATGTTTTTCCTTCATCTCGAGACCCCGATAGTCTCGTTAATAATTCTAAGTTTTCCTACGAGCGAATGCGCATGCGTCCATAATGTATCACGTGATTCACTGTGACCAATCTGACAATGAGGTTTGGGAATGGTTCGAAAACTTCAGGCTCTCGTCTGAAAATTGGTACAGTTATGCAGTGTGTCCCTTAGAGGTTTTCACAAAAACGTAATACATAGACCTCAGACGAGAACAATTCGATACAAGCAAACTTACGTCAGTTCGAAGTTGCTGTATTTGGACAGTCAGGCTGCTTTTAAAGCACTGAGCTCCAGCAAGAATAATTTGAAGCTTATTGCATGGAGCTGTATTGATTCCGTAGAATATCTGGGTGCAGACAACAGAGTTACTTTGCTGTGGGTGCCTGAACAAACAGGGAACCGAATCTTTGTTCATAGGACCAGAACCATACTTTGGGATCACCGCAAGTGCGACCAAAACAACTATCTCGGACTGGGCGGAGGGGAAAACACTCACGTACTGGTCTAAATTACCATGATTAACCTATTAGAAGGCGTTTCTATCTGAACCATCGAAACATATAACTAGGCAGATCCTAGAATGGAGCAGGGGTAACCTGCGAATTCTGATAGGACTGCTTACGGGACACTGACGTGGGAAGGATGGGTCTGATCCAACAAACGGATTGTCGGTTCTGCTGTGTGGAAGATGAAACGGCTGAACACATATTATGTTCATGCTCTTGCTTAGAGAGATTGAGTTTCGACATATTTAGCTTCACCCATCGATTTCAGACAAATCTCACCTAGTTCAACCATGGACGTTGTGAAAAGATGTGGATTGTACGATGAACTGTAATCTCTAGGAGTGAGCCACAATAGACCCATCTGTGGTCGCAGTGGAGGGGCGGTATTCGCCCCACTCACATGGAGCCTACCTACCTACCTACAATTCTCAAATCGTTTTTGCTTCATGGCTTTGAAACGGCTCATGCGATTTTACTCAAATTTGGTACGTTGGCTTAGCTACCTGGAACAATAAAACTCTTTCCAAAGACTCGTTCATCCAACGAACAGCGAGGCTCTGGAACACATTGCCAAGGGAGGTGTTTCCCGAGGCATATAACCTCCAGAAATTTAAGAAGAACACCAATTCCTACCTCTTTTCCCTTGGTTCTCACGATGTTCTCTGAACATTACAGGATATCCCTTTTCGTGGGAACCAGAACATAAAAAAAATATATAGGATATCATTCCATGGGCGTAGAACTTTTTTCAGTAAATAAACATCTGAAATTTCTACGTCAATCAAAAAAAGGAATTTGAATATGAAATTTGGATTGCGTGACTTGTTTACTACAAAAAAGGTACTCTTGATAAAATTCGATTATTCTCATGGTTTCGACAAAATTTGAATTTTAGTAATTCAAAGCATCAGGCGGTATGATACAGATCATATGGGTAACTGTTTGAGGCATAATGTCGACGGTCATTCCCAGAATCGTATGCCTTACCGTGTCCACCAGCCTGTTTCGTGAAATTCGCAGTACCTAATAAGCGCAATTCTGGATGATGTGGAGGGGAGGTAGGTCTAGAAGGATTTCCATAGTTGCTGACAGTGTCATGCTGATGCCCCTAGAAATCATACTTCTCAAAGTGGTCCAGAATTTTTCAAAGAAAAATACAAAAAACCCACTTGTTTGTATTTTTCTCTGATCGCCCAAAGCCTGTCTCTGTATACTAGAGAGCTTGACATGCTCCGTTCGGTGATAAGCTTCCGGCCAATTGTGAAGAACATTTTCCAAAAGAGCGTTCCACGTGAGTTTTTCATCGAAGATGATACTATACTATATTATAATGTATGTATAATTCTAGATTACAGCTGGATAGGCAAATCTACTTGAAGACAGTTGTAAAAGTATCCCATGACTTCTAAATGGAATTTTCGATGGTATTACGTCAAGAATTACCACTTCCCCTCATCGCGTTTTGCTGATCGAGGCAAACCTTCCTCTACAAATAATCATCAATTCTTCCAACCTTGCGTACTATTACATTCAGAGACATCTGTTTCCTCTGTCTACAACTGTGAACATCATCAAACCAATGAACTCAATGTATTGAGTTCAACGCATCCAATACACCTACACTTACTCTCAGGAGTAACTGTTTATCTTATTCTCTCCTAATTCTTTCATAATGGAGTATCGCTGCATACCCCGCAGAAGAGTTCTGACCCCTCGAAAGTTATTTATGAAGCTCCACTTCTCATGAATTTATAGGTTACTTCATTTCGAACATTAACATTATTGCGGCAAATCGACTATTCGCGGTCGCCAAGGTCATTAGATGACGTTGTGATGGCTTTTTTTTTTCTTTCTTTTATTTGTCCCTCTTATCCTGATATCTATCATGAAACAAAAAAAAAACAAAATGAAAACGGTATTGAACAGCCCTTCTGTCCCAAAGTTTCAGAAATACATTCTGAAAATTGAAGAAGATCGAACGGAACAAATAAATATCAAGAACTTGAGAAGAGTAAATTTGGTCATAATGTTGATATTTTCTCTAGTTTATGGACGATCTCGGTCTTTTGAACTTCTTGATCTCCTGGGTCATAATCACCTGCATTTCGAAGAAGCTGATTCTCATGAACCTCAGCTTTTTCTAAAGTCTTGATGTTTCGTTCTCAAATGACGGGACACGATTGAAGGGAGTTTCAGATCCCTGGCGATCTGGTTATTCCGAACATACTAAGGAGATCCTGTCACCATTCTCGCGATTTTGTTTTGTAATTTTTGTAATCAGGTGATATGAGATTTAGCAGTGTGGCCCCAGACTACCGAGGCATACAGTAAAATTGGCCTGATAGCCATGATGTAAATATTCAATTTTTGTCTCAAACCCAATTTACTTCGTCTGTTTAGAAATGGACACAGGGCTCCAATGGCTCGTTTAGCTATTGCTGTTCAATGTGCTGGACCCAGGTGAGCTTTTTGTCAATGCACACACCTAAGTATTTAACTTGTGAAGACCACTCTAACTCATGACCATTTAGGACTATTCTGGTTCTGGGAGGCCTCCGCTCCCTTCCGAGTGCGACTAATTGTGTTTTTGCTGGATTCAATTTGATCTTCCATCTTAGGAAGTATTCCTGAAGAGAATTCAGCACGCTTTGGAGGTTCATAGCTGCTTGCTCGAAATGCAAGAACTGCCGTATCATGGGTAAACATCCTAATCCCTGGCATGGATTGAAAGTTAGACTTGTTTTCCCGAAGTTTTCAATGTCATCAGAACGTCATCTTATTTTCGTCCCTTTCTTCAATAGATGTCTAAAAACCATCCATATCTCCACTCCTTAATGTCCTGGAGCTCATCTTAGATGTTCGACTGATGTATATCTGGTGGATTTATGTCCAAAAAAGGGCAATTCGTCTCGTGGGGGATGCCTCGCTTACAAACTCACTCACTTCTCTGGAACACCGTAGAAAAGTTGGCGATCTGGCTCTTTTTTTATAGATATTTCCATCGCAGATGCTCTTCTGAAATATCAACAATTGTTCCTCCCTTGGCACCCCGCGAGATTAACCCGTCGAGTTGAGGCTTCGCACCCCTTCGTGGTCACTTCGGAGACCTGCAGAACATATCTTTCCAAAGACTCGTTCCTCTAACGAACAGCGAGGCTCTGGAACACATTGCCAAGGGAGGTGTTCCCCGAGGCATATAACCTCCATAAATTTAAGAAGAACACCAATTCCTAACTTATTTCCCTTGAATCTCACGATGTTCTCTGAACATTACAGGATATCCCTTTTCGTGAGAACCAGAACATAAAAAAATCCTCTATCAACAAATGCTCCGTTAGATCTGATGGGTATGATGGGTACATTACCTATTTTTTTATTCCTATTAGTCCTTCTACAAATAAATTGCTCAATTCTCAAGTACCCATATATTATTTAACTACCAATAATGGATACTTAAGGTGATGAACCAATCTCAGAACATGACATCATATGAATTCTAACAATAATAATAATCTGTTGTTCATTATTACTATCCAACCAATCGAGTTTCTTTTATTCCGGAGTTTCTGCATAACAAAAACGGATAATATGTAATTATGAGTGATAATTTCGATAAAATCTATACATTATATTCCCCGGTTCTTTTCAAAACCACTCATCAATTTCGATATTTTCAAATACTTATATCTGCACTATCCAATATTTTTAGATTTTTCAATATTTTTATAACATTAGAAAAATCTCCATCACTTTGTGAAATTTTAATTCTTCAAAGAATAGGTTTTTGCTACTCACTTTGTTGGATTGATTAATTGATGTACTTACTTTTACAAATCGAATTAATCGACTTACCTTAACATTTAAATTTTTTTTTGCAGGTTTCCTCGAATGATCTCCATGTGAAAATAGATGCACCATCTTCAAGATGGTAGGAACCAGAATAGATATTATATGTAGAAACATTTGTTTTTCAAATTCAGTAGTGAATAGATCAGTATTTGCCAAATTCGTTTACTGGTAATGCACTATCCATATAGTGTACATATATTTTCACAAATATCATACTATTCATTACCTACGTGTCCGTGATATTTTAAAAGAATATTGATCAAACTCAGTATAATGTAGATAAACTTTCCACGATGCTTGAAACATCAATATTTATGAAAGTATTCTCATTACCTAGAAGACATATTTTAGTAATAAATATATAATGTTGTGTAGTCAGCTGTGATTTCAATTTTTGTAATAGAAATGAATTTGCACTCTCGAAATTTTGTTTTGTTCGTTGAACTAATCGTGTTTTTCAAAAAGAATTAGTTCCACGTCACCAATCATCACATAGTTTAATTTTTGAATTATGAATAGAACATCAAACATATCCAATATGTTCATGAGTTAGCCCTCAGCTTTCTTCGATTTTATCATTTATATGTACTTATATCAAGGCAATCAGTATCAAGATTTTCATATGACCGTTCCTTCTTTCATGAGATATTCAAACATTTTATTTTGGACATCTTTTGGAATACCATGAATTGTGTTATACGTTATTTATATTATTTTATTTTATTGATTATTTCGAATGAAAAGCTGTACAGTATACATAAATAGATTTAAATGATTGTCAGTAGGTTGTATGATATAGAAATTAAGTATGAAGATTGTAAATTCACTCAGTATTCTATAAATGAGTAGTAGGTACTAATAAAATTACTAAGATACAAAATACTTGTCTACTTTATTTCATAATAAAATGTTCTCTTCGAACGATTAATCCTCTCAATGAGTACCTATATGATAAATGGTACCTAACGAAAATAGTAACCCTGATAACACAACTCGATTCAATGGACGTCCTATGGACATCGTCCTCTGAACATCTCGGATATCCATATAGGACATCCAGTTTGTGTACACTGAATGACGTGTGGACATCCATAGAATATCGCGTTTCCAACTTTTCAACTATTCATATGGTATCCGTCATGGACATCCATATGGTAAATTCAATATTTATGCATTCATATACCGGGTGTAACAGGATCATATGGTACACACCCTTTTTCTTCTTTAGTTTTGAAGATGTGTGATTGAAATTTGGAATGACCAATTAACTTAGTAAACATCATGTTTTCACATAAATAAGTTGCATTTGCCACTTGCAACACCCTGTATATCATTGCATTTTCGAATTCCGCACCATTTTCTGAATCCGATGATACCTTTATGAGTGACATTTCAAACTTCAATGTTGCACAGAAGCTCTTTATCTCAGGGTTGATTCTATTTGGGGGTTTGACTGACTGATACTCCAACGGGAAGTTTCCACAAGAATTTTATTCTGAAGGACGTCGAGGTATGCGAAATGTGCTACAACTAATTATTAAATTGATTTACCACATGGTATTCCAGGATCCTATATGCAACATGTAGGTTTTTACATGTATTGTGCAGCCACGTGCAGATAACAATCATCTATAATATTTTAAATAACTTACCTAATTATTAAATTGACCAGGCCTCAAGTGTGAACTTCGTGATTGTCCTACCACTTGTTGAAAACCAACAAGGTTCAAAATAAATTTAGTTGAGGGATAATTTTTAGAATTACTCTAGGAGGCACCAACCATTTTCCTTCAAGGTTGAATCAGAAAAGGAGACCTCAGCCACAAAGTACAACTATGGTGAATAAAACATTAAGTTACAAAGAATGTGTAGTTTATCCTGTTTTTATGCCTTCCTCTTTAAATCATTTTAAATACTGCTCGCGCCATCAACCGTAACCTCGTATGCAACCAACTATACTCTGATATGCATTAAGTGTGGACAACCCACATAACGCATATGGGTAACTGATCTCTGAATGACTATTGCTATGCAGGTGACACAACTCTGGTGCGCCTGAAATAGTGAAAATAACACGAAGATGACGAATCGAGGTGACAGGTGACCTTCGACATTTCGCTGCCATCATTTTCGGCGGGTTAATCAAATAAAGGGAGGGGATATTGCTATTTTTAATATATTTAAATTACTATCATTTTATATTTATTATTTATATACTCATGTCCAAACTAGACATTGAAGAAGTGGTGCTATTCACCCAGAATCGGTTTCAGCACAATGTTGATTTCGATTTTATTTTTGATCTTCCATTTGAGTGTGCCATGACTATTCTTATATCAAGTCTGATGTATTCATATCGATATATGTGTGATGCTAAAAAAATTGATCCTGTGAATAATATGAAATTTCTCGATTTATCACCAAATTAAGTTGGAGAAAATGGTTTGGTGTACCATGATCCTGTTACACCCGGTATATATAGGAATAAGATCGGTTGAGTAAACACAATGGGCACTCAATTTCAGGTCCGTTCTACTAGTTGAAATTCTTCGACATCTTCATCACCACATCCTCTGGATTGGTTCAAGTGATCTTTTTTTTTTCGACTGAAATGGTATATAACGATGAAACAAAAGCAACTCGTCGTTCACACACAAATATTAAGGAACAGATTATTACAATAACGTCGCCACTCAATACAAATTCGAACGATTTATGTAAAAATCATCAGAACGCTAGGTATACATACATATATCTGAAAATAATGAGATTATCTGTCTCAGTAATCTCAGAAATTCAACAATGCATCAACAATAACAATGGCGGACAGCTCATATCACTGCTATGACACCTTATGGATTACTTTACCTGGATCTCCAATGGATATCTTCATGTGGACATCCTAGCTATTGTTATCCAGATTGTGTCCATAGACACCTTGGACATATAATTCACACAGTACGGATATCCAATGGGCATCTTGTGTTATTAGGGAAAACTTTTGTTTATTGCACTTGAAGCTTTGTATCAAATTCAGTGATAGCTTGATATGGCCATTGGAAAAAATGTTCGGACAAGTCGATTGTCGATGCATGAAATCTCTTCCCAATTGAATAAAACATGCAGCAACTTTATCACTGCTCAAGTGTGCCATGTTCCCATACAACACGGGATATCCTATGGACGTCCAAATCATGTCCAATTCATGTCGGGATATCCTTGGACCTTTTTGGATATCCATAGGATATCCAAAATTCACCCGCGCGGATATAATCAATGTAATAAATTGTGAATATGAATTAAATTGATGAAAATTCAAATCTATGTGTGTACATAGTTATATTACTAGGAAATATATAATATATCGAATATGGAATTTTTCAACGTCTTCTTGGATATCCAATGGATATCCATGGGATATCCTGTATTGGAGCATTGAACCACGTCGTTGAACAATAACGCCCAGAATAACATAGAGATGTCGACAAAGTCGGCAGTGTCGGACTCACCAAACATATTTTCGATGTCCATGTGGGTCCCATATATTTAATAACAACTATATGGGTAACGTCCTATCCTTTCCTTGTTCAAAATTGAAGCCAGTTTTGAGAAACAAATGACAGTCTGCGAGACAATGAATAATCATACGTTCACTCGCCAGCTAACAGATGCGCATAGAACAGAGTAGAACTGATATCCTATATGAACACCCATGAAAACATAAGGGATATCTTATGGACGTCCATGAAGGATATCGTATGGACGTTCTTGAACGATGTTCTATGGACGTCATTGAAGGATATTTTATGGACGTCCGTGAAGGATATCCTATGGACGTACAAGTTGGTGGCCTCAGGACATCCATTGGACGTCCATGGGATATCCATTGGACGTTATTTGGATGTCCATTGGATATCCAAAATATCCTGAATGGATATCCTATGGACATCCATCGGATGTCCATGTGTTGTATGGGTTATATCAGAGAGATTTATTCATTATACCTATACCTACTACATTTTGAATGAAATGTAATACCTACATTATGGTTCATTTTTTAATGTTCCCTGTTATACACAATACACATATAGGTAAATAGTTTCTTGGGAATAATAAAGATGATGATGATGATGATGATGATGATGATGATGATGATGTTCCCATCAGAGATATAGCAAAGATGCTGAGACATATGTGGTTAACTGGGTTCCCATTACTTGAAAATAGGGTTACCCAACATGAAAAAAAAAATGAAGGGAAAATATGACGGAGAAACATGCGTTTATTTTGAATAAATTATCAGAATGAGGTATTGCCATTTGAACAAATGATGATGACGTCATAACTCGAACAGTGATGGTGTCATCAGAAATGTCAGTATACCAAGAATAGCGCAACTGAAAAAGAAAATCGACTTGTCTGAGATTTTTCTCCCTACTGATGTCCATATCAAGATTTAAACCCTTTTCCTAGCAAAGTATCTGGTGCCTACCTAAGATAGATCTTTTGAATATATTCGTTGGGAAAAAGTCGCAAATTTCTTTTTTTTTTGTTCTGGTTCCCACGAGAAGGGTTACCGTGTAATGTTCAGAGAACATCATGAGAACCAAGGGAAATAAGGTACGAATTGGTGTTCTTCTTAAATTTCTGGAGGTTATATGCCTCGGGGAACACCTCCCTTGGCAATGTGTTCCAGAGCCTCGCTGTTCGTTGTTTAAACGAGTCTTTGGAAAGAGATGTTCTGCAGGTCTCCAAAGAGACCACGAAGGGGTGCGAAGCCTCAACTCGACGGGTTAATCTCGCGGGGACTGCCAAGGTAGGCACAATGGTTGATAATTCAGAAGAGCATCGTCCATGAAAATATCTATAGAATAGAGCCAGATCGCCAACCTTTCTACGGTGTTCCAGAGAAGTGAGTGAGTTTGTGAGTGAGGCATCACCCACGAGACGAATTGCCCTTTTTTGGACAGAATCCAACAGTTTCAGGGTATGTTTGGGTGCCGCACTCAAAATATGGGAACAGTATTCCAGGACAGGTCGGATCTGTGCCTTATAGATCATAACCAGCTGACTGGAAGTGAAATACCTCCTGGCCCGAAACAGAAAACCAAGTTTTTGGGATGCACTTTTAGCAATTGATCTCACGTGATTTTCCCAAGAAAGGTTATTGCTGATAGTAATACCAAGCATCGAAATGGATGTCTTCAAAGGTATGGTTACTCCTGACATGCTTATGTTTGGCACAGTGAGATCGGCTTCTCTAGAGAAAAGGCATGCTTGTGTTTTGTTTGCATTGAAATCTACCAAATTATTGGATCCCCACTCGAGAATTGTTGCCAAGTCCATGTTTATGTTGTCAACATTTCTCCCTCGTTCGTTTCTGATTTGCCTAGCTGGTATTGGAGCCCTGGAAGAGAAGGCGGTATGGAGGGAACTATCATACGCGAAGCTGTGAACTGGACATGAAGTTGCTTCCAACAAATCGTTATATAATATGGAGTAGAAATAGTGTAGGTGCTAGAATTGATCCTTGCGGAACACCAGCCTTTATTATGCTAAGAGATTCAGATGAAACTCCGTCGACCACTACATGGTGAGACCTGTTCAAGAGAAAACTAGCTAGCAGAGAACATAGCTAGGGAGGCAAGCCATAAGGTGGAAGCTTGGCGAGGAGTCCGTGGTGCCAGACTCGATCGAATGCTTTGGAGATATCAAGTGCCACGACTGAGATTTCACCATATTTTTCAATAGATTGCTGCCATATATGTGAGACGTAAGCGAGCAGGGCACCAGTTGATCTCTGATGACGGAAGCCATATTGCCTATCGTTGATGGTACCTGAATGTTCCAGGTATATCATGAGCTCGATGTTGATA